TATATATTTCTATATAAAACTTTGATTCCCCATTGTGGCCCCACCCTTCCCCCGGGGGTCATTATTTGAACAATTTAGAATCTACATTATACCAGGATTTTTCCACATAAGTTTCAGCTTTTCTGGCCCAGTGGTTCTTGAGAAGAAGATTTTCAAAGATTTTTCCTATATATTTCTATATAAAACTTTGATACCCCATTGTGGCCCCGCCCTTCCCCTGGGGGTCATGATTTGAACAATTTAGAATCTACACTACACCAGAATGCTTCCACATAAGTTTCAGCTTTTCTGGCCCAGTGGTTCTTGAGAAGAAGATTTTCAAGGAATTTTCCTATATAATTCTATATAAAACTTTGATTCCCCATTGTGGCCCCGCCCTTCCCCCGGGGGTCATTATTTGAACAATTTAGAATCTACATTATACCAGGATGCTTCCACATAAGTTTCAGCTTTTCTAGCACAGTGGTTCTTGAGAAGAAGATTTTCAAAGATTTTTCCTATATATTTCTATATAAAACTTTGATTCCCCATTGTGGCCCCGCCCTTCCCCTGGGGGTCATGATTTGAACAATTTAGAATCTACACTACCCCAGGATGCTTCCCCATAAGTTTCAGCTTCACTGGCCCAGTGGTTCTTGAGAAGAAGATTTTTTAATGACCCCACCCTATTTTTGTCTTTTCTTGATTATCTCCCCTTGCGAGGGGATATGTCCCTTCATTTTAACAATTTAAATTCCCCTTCACCCAAGGATGCTTTGTACCAAGTTTGGTCAAAATTGGCCCAGTGGTTCTTGAGAAGAAGTCGAAAATGTGAAAAGTTTACAGACGGACAGACAGACAGACAGACAGACAGACGGACGGACAGACAGACGGACGGACGACGGACAAAATGTGATCAGAAAAGCTCACTTGAGCCTTCGGCTCAGGTGAGCTAAAAACTATTGAAATTATGACAAAATCATTTAATTTTTTAAAAAAGATATTTCTGTAAAAAATAATCTATATGATTGGTTACTGGCTGCTTTAATATATGAAATAGATATATATATCATTATCTTTTTAAAACGTTACCAAAGCAAAGCAGTACGAACGGGAATTTAAACTTAATTTCAATAAAACTAAACTTTAATCCTTGGCTGTATTCAACGTCATGAAATACATTATTCGTTGGGGAAATCGTTGGGAATCAAAATTTCGTGGGCAAACTAAATTTTACTTCATCATATGGGCATTATTTCGTGGTACTTTCATATTCAGATGATGAACCGACACTTTCTTAAAGTTAAAATTGCAATGTACTTGGATGTAAAGTTCGCCTTACAAAATCCACAATAATGGGAGATTGATTTACAAACATATCAATAATTTGAAAAATATTTTAAGTTGTCTTACCTGGAATTCTTGAATTTGGTTTCTTTAATGACTGTTGTTCATCCTCGTTTTCGTAATCTGCGTCCTGTAATGACATTACGTTGATAATTTGTAGTTTCATTAAAAGAAAAATAACCATCACACGAACAAAGTTGTTTCCTTGATGCTTACTCTCCTTAGCAACTGATTGCCAGGCTTTGGAATTGCCGGAGGCCCATATTTACGTCCTGTTTAAAACTTTGTATAGTTTTTTAATTTCTTTTTCAGACCTATCACTGTTCGTTGTTTTAATGATATAATTCTTAGCGAAATGTACAAAATACTGTGATTTAATTTTATGTATAAGACATGTCAACCTTTTAATTTTTAACTTACGTGTACATTACACTTCTCAGAAATTAAAAAAAGTTTACCGATCCTGAATCATCATCGAAATTCTCAAATTCGTCCCAAGCTTCGTAGTCATCATCGGATTCTGACTCTGCTTCATTACTGGGTGGTGGCGGCTGTGGCTGCCTGTCTATATAGCGGTATAAAATAGTATAGCACGTGACTGGTTTATAGTACTCACATATATTGAAATTGAATTCGCGCGGTAATATCTTCCTGTGCTTATATAATTATCTTGGTTATCTTGAGTCTAAATCTATGATTTGATATACATTAGAATCCTTACTCTCAATTCTGGAAGGAAAGTTTGGTCTGGAAGGTGTAAACGTTGACACTCTGTAATACAAATATCACATGAAGTAGAACTATATTCTTTACACATGTATACATGTATATCTCGTTATATATATCAACTTCGATTTTAAAGAGATAATTGTACGAGTACCATTTGCAATTTATGATACATTTTGAGTGGTCTTTCACAAAACATTTCTTATTAGTGTCATGGTAAAGATAAAGGTAATTATGGAAAATGTTGATAAGCACAAAAAACACAAAATCGTGAATATATACTGTATATATTTTTTTACTTAAAAGATTTCATTTCAATTATTCTTCATTTTCCAAACCTTTAAATATTTTTCACCGAAAAATTATTCAATAAATATATGCACCTTTATTTAACATCAACCAAATCGTCTTATAAATGCAATATAACCGAATGAACACCAAAATATTAGTGATATCATGCAAACATTCAAACTGAAAGTAATCATATGTCCACCAAAGCAATGAATACAAATTTTTATGTTAAATACTGAGTTTTCTTATACATGTAGAGTAATTGTAAATAAAACTGAGAATTTTGCAAGAAAGGCAATTTTTACTTACATTCTCTTAATATAAAACGACATATTATAATTATGTAAATATTTCATTAAACTCCTCACAACAAATACCCTCCTGAGATATGAATATGCATGTCTGACTTAAGAAGACTGAACATTGATCGTCATTTTATCACAATTATGTCACTACCTATGTAAAACAGTCTATAAATTCAGGTCAAATACCTACATAAACAACAAGTAAACTGGCCATCATATGAGGATTGAATGTAATCTTAGCACAAACATGTCACAAAATAGCTGGGAAAGTAAGAATACTGGATATTTTAATATCATCTTTCACAATTAATAACTAGAAAGCACTTTTATTTCTAAATCAGAATATCCACTCTTCTGATAAACACAAATGAAGAAAACATTTAACTGAAATACATGTTGTGTATAAAAATACTATAACTGAAATACCTTGTACAAATGGACATCGAAATACAGCATCGTTATTTATTTATAAGTTATCACCTACATAACATAGTACATTTTTGGTAGTATTGATTCTTTTTTCACCCTTTGGTGAGAATATGATAAATACAAAAACGTATCAAAACACTAACATGCCAAAAAAATTCCCCACAAAAACAAAAGATTAAGGATTTCTAACCTGATATCATGAAATAATAAAAATCCATCTTTGGTTATGACTTGAGGATTTTTCTTTGAAACAAAACCAAAAACTACTTCATGCAAAAGTCTTACCCAACGAAATCCTATTCAGCAGAATAAAAGTAGAAGACTCGAGCTCAAAAACTTCATTTGTCAATAAACCCCTTACATGTACATACATGTACAGATCAGATTTTAACATAGTCCGCAAAATGAATGTGCATATCGTTTTCAAATTTATCTATACGTGTATTTGCGTATTCCATTCTCGTATGTGACTTTATCATTGATGATCCATTCATGATTGAAATTTTCAAGATGCATGAAAAAGATTCCAAGACAATAAACTGATGAAATGCAAGTGGAACTGAATCAAGAAAACTATGCAAACTGTATTTTTTTTTTACACTGAGCCCATTTGTTAGTTTTTTTTTTCATTTCCAAAGATTAAGTGAAATTTATACAAGTATAATTAGCGAAATTCATTAGTTGCATGGAGAAAGACATCATCTTTGAACAAAGATGATTCATGATTATTGCTTTATACATTCGAACTTATATACTCACGGTTTGTGTAAACTAAATATATTACAAAAATAAAATTTCAAAGTTACAAACTCTTGTTTGTTATTCATTTTCAGAGAGAAAACATTTTGGGAATAGACCATGCATGACAATAAGTGCCTCTGAAAGTGACAATACTTTTTTTTCTTCTTGCATATTTGTATTTCAATCAATAGAAAAAGAATCAAATATTGACCTTAATGAAAAGTTTTTTTAATAAGTGAAAAGACTGAAATACACCTTGTGTTTCCAATGACATAAACTGAAAATTTTCTCTAGAATTTATTTTACGCTAGGCGTGTTGACTCTCTTGGACAGAATACAACTTTCATATTTTATAAATACTTACGTTGGGGCCGACACGTCTCTGTTAGGGATATTCCTTATGCACTTTATTAATTCACTAAAACATAGAGAGTGACAGATATATTGATTGTTAAAATAAATAACAAGTATATCTCTTTATTGCTCATAATTCTGATCATTTTCGAAATGCCTGTACATGTATGATAAAAATCTATCCTTCTTTTAAAAATAAACTCTTTTTCTAAGTATAAATAAAAATTTTACCTACTGATGCCAAGAAAACACATCTCATTTTGAAACATTATTGAATTATTAACATTATTAACTTTATCTTTCATATTTTAATATAAGCAACTTTTTTAAATAATTTATTAATAGGTTTGGAATATATTCAGAGTACAGCTTACAAGTGTTCGTCTAGAAACAGAAATGCCTACATTGCTGCGTTATTTCATGCAAAATATGCGCACATCAAGCAGATTCAAAAAGTATATTACGAGGAAGCTAAAAGCAGTGTTCTGTACTACCTAAAACTACTACGTGCATTTCCATATTTACTTCCTGGTTTAGCGTATAAAACACTACTATCATATTTTGATTTGTAGTATGTGTCCTTGACAAAGATTACGATACTTCACATGAGAGCGAAATATGGATCAAAACATAACCGATATAGAATGATAAATCTTGTTCGTTTTTTAATACTTTATCCGTTATCACTTTAATACACACTTAGATGCTTTCACAAAACATAAGAATTTACTTACTCCATTCTACTCTCTTCGAAAGTATATGTGGCAAAATTTTAAACTGTCCCTTTGCAGGCAAAATCTCTAGCCAAAATGAGTTTCACAAGTACAATGTATATAATATATTTCATTGAAAGCATTTGTAACAAAAATTTGCCAATTTCAATATTATACATTTTAAACTGGTTTGTATATTTTTCTATCTATGATATGAGCATGTTTGCTCCAAATGAGTTTTAATCAGATAATTTCAAAGTCGAAGCACAGATCCATCCCGACATACAAGTATGTTACTTTTTTTCAAAAATTCTATTTTATTGTGGATGCGTTTCTTTTAATCTAAATTGGATATATCCACTTTTGGAAGTAAAAAAGTGTGTATCAAAATATAAAAAAAAAACGTCTAAAGTGTAGTAACGTGTTAATTAACTTCTATCTCCAAGTTATGTGATAAGGCAACTAATGGTGATTGTGACAGATTACATACTAGTTAGGATAAATCTATGATTTGTTAATCACAATAATTTTATCACATAATCTAAACTCCTCACAAAAGTACGACAATACCAGTTAAATGACTTCGCTATAATTCAGTCACAGTTTTTGACTTACGATCTCTTCGCATTGGGACACTTCATTTTTGTTAAATCCACATCGCCGATATGCTGAAAATACGTACAATCATAGAAAGAGAAAAAATAATTATTTATAGAGAGAAAAGAGAGAGAAGACTCATGCATTTAATGTCCTTTGACAAAAAAGAAATAATTTTTACTCAAAGGTAATTAATAGATTCATATGAAATATCGTTTTGATAAATTAAAATGTAGAGCGTGGTGACTCGTATTGTCTAATTCAATATTTTCTTTTTGTTAAGGAGTATGAACTATAACTCATGCTGAAAGTTGCAAGCATAGACGTATTTAAGAATTTTAAGCGTATCAGTTAGAAATCAAACTTTATTCCAACTGAATTGTTTTTGGAATACATGTACACTTGGTATAAAGTTTTAAATTTCAAATATCTGCATGTTGGGCACACTGTTCCTTAAAAAAACAAGTAAATTTTCTTCTTTCTTAACGTTTTAAAAAAAATAACCCTTTCAGGAAATTTCTAACTAATTTCTTAGATTAGTGTGCAAACAATTCTCTAATACAGTGGAAATTTTCTTGCAATTTTGGACGACAAAACTATCGAAAAGTTACCATGCTGAAATCTTCGACTAAAAATAGCTTAGTTGCCTAAAACGGCAAGAGATTTAAAAGGGCAAAGCATTTTGCAGATTTGAGAATTGGGTACAAAATACACTTACGTTCGTTTATTAAGCGGACATCTCATTTGTGACAAATCCACATCTTTTAAACTCTGTAATTAGCAAGCTAATATGTTTTTAACTGATCAAAGTGCTTAACACCGTTGGACACTACTTGGGCTCTTTAATCAGCCTGTTTGTCTGTTTTAATATTGTTATGAAACAAATTTATTCGAAACTTATAAATATATGAACGCAAAATAAAACTCCTGCTGAGACTTTTATTCAACATTTTTGTACCTTTTTTTTAATTAAAAGCTAGTTTTATTCATACATCTATGTCGATGCAATATATCACAGAGAGCTCAAAATAGGACCACGGAGTCGACCAATCTGTAGCATTGTTGCAAACGTTTTCTCACTACAAACAGTGAAGGCGACTCGACAATTTAACCATAAGGGAAAGGGGATGAGGTCAGAATTATCATCGTTACCTTTCCCTATTTTTATTATACTAGTATTTTATTTTCAAACTGATTCCTTACTCAGATCATTTACAGTTATATCAATATAGTTCTAATCCACACAGGGTACTGACTAAGAAGATGACTTACAGAACTTTCAATAATCTAGTTTAAATTCTGGATTTTCTATGGTTGTTATAATGACCTCGTTACCTGGTTGAATGTCAATGATTCATTCCAATTTTTAGAACGTATTTTTTTGCAACAAATTGACTATGGTTTACTACATTTATGAAATATATGCTGATAATGAAAGTATTCAACAAGAGTCCATTCCAACAATACAAAGCAGGAGAAGAGCAAACATGGACCAGAAACCATAAAGGAATGAGCAGCCCTGCCAACCGGTCACATCCGCCGTGTGCTCCTTGTCAAGATCGGGAAAAACAGAAAAATCCGTAGACAATGTTTAAATAATGGCTTTACAATTAGTAAGGAAAACGTAAATCATGATTTGAATTAATTAAAAAATTATTGTTTTTAATTTGCTAATAAGGTCATGTATCGACCATAAAATTTGCAAAATGATGACTTTAAACGAGATTGTTGATATTCTTGTTTCATCAACTCGTTTACCTCGTTTTGAAATTCTTAATAATTGTCAGTACGTAGACGATGTTCTTGCGCATATAAACCCTATATACATGTGATAAAGGTAGGGTATATTGCATCATAACTCATAAGGGAAGTTGAGATTGAAAAGATGAAGTATCACATTTATCTTATGACTTTTTTGTAAGGATACCTTTTACGTCTTTTTTCAGTAAAATATGAAACAGATGTGTCAGAATCTGTAGTGTCTTTTATTTCAAGTTTACTGGGATATATTGTATTGACATATGAAAAGAAATAACTATTGTTAATTGATAATATGTCTTCTACACATGTACATCTAAATGTCGAGTTGAAGGCATAGCAAGTGTTTCTTCTCAAGTATGAAATTTTGAATAAATTCTGCTTTATTTTTCATACACTGTACAATTATGTGTCTCACCACAGCATGATACGCCCATCAAAAATTGTTCTATTATTATAAACAGTTTGGGTTGCAAGACAATAACGCCAACCTTGATTACATGTACAAAGATTTCAATTAATTGTTTCCAATCCTTTGAATGTTTGACGCAATTACATCTCCTGTGGTATACATGAAGGTATTAATTATAACAAATATTACACATGTGTTAGAAATAAACAAATGCTTATTTGCAGCTTTTTTTGTGCGCTTCCTTTATTATCCCTTTCTTCTTAACAAACTCTCTACTGTCAAAATTATATAATTTAGACTTTTTAAAACATAATTTAGGAACATAATTTCAGAAATACATTTTTTTTTCTAAGAAAGGGGAAATTTTGAAGAAAAAATGAACAACAGAATCATTTCTTTTAACAATTTTTTGATGCATTTTCTCTACATTGTACTGCTATAATAAGGAATAAAAGAATTCATTTAGTAAATGTACATCTATTGAATACCGGGGTATTATGATGTCTGCAAAATATTTAGGGGTGCAATTTTCAGATACAGGTAATTTGTCATCTTCACTATAGCCAAGGGTTTCTGATATGCTACTCTCCTCATAATCATGAGGAGAGTAGCATATTGGAAACCCTTGGCTAGCGAAGATGGTAATATCTGATGGCTCAAACTTCAATCTCTTGTAGTTCTTTATCCCTCACATACTGTATACTGGATCTATGAGTTTAATTGAAATTCTTGAGTTTTTTAACATAATAAAACTATCAAAGAAGGGCAAACTCCAACAGAAATTGAAAAAAATTTAATTCCTTCACTTTACTTGACTTGTAATTTTAAATAGAAAAATTCAATTCATCAGGAAACATTTGCTTTATCAAAATATTTTCTTTCGTATTAAAATGTAAATAGTTAGGGGAAAATATGCATGTACAGGTGCACATTGTGTGTTTTAAAATAATTTCTGCATTTATTCAAAAGTAGTTAGTAAAGTCCTGCAATATGAAAAAGACTTGCTACTTTTCTGTTTCTCAAGTCAGGTGCATCGATCATCTACTGGTTTTGTACCAGGTGGTTAACAGGTAACAATAGTACATGTGTATCAAGATCCAACTTCACACAAACTGGAATCACTAGAAATTAGTTATGGGTCGGTTGAATCATTTAGAGTATTTATCTCATAAAGTACATGTTGCCACAATTTCTAGCTGTTTATATTGGGAAAACCCTTGATATAACAGGGGGAAAATGCTAAGCTTATACATGTAACTGTAAAATTAATTGAAAGTCACATACTTGAATATACAATGTTGGTCAGACGCAGTGTCTGAGTAGCATTTCTCATTTTAAGCAACTATAGAGGCACAACTGCAAGATTTGTTTCATTTATAAACTTCTTGAAATAAGTTGGAAAATAACTCTAAATTCTAAGTTTCAGCTGTCTAGAATAAACTCTAGATGAACAATAGACATAGGGTGGATGTTTGTGTAATAGAGAGGGAGGGGGTTTACATAGCAGAATATTGGGGAAAGGTCATACAGCAACCTATCCCTTTTTTCTTTTCAAACATAAGGTCAATTCTAATATGGTTAATACTACAGAGGCTTATTTTTTATATATATCAAGTTTAATACAATCTAGTGACCTATATAATGGCTGGTTATGATAACTATAAGTGCATTATAGTTCTTATGACTGCATATTTAGTAACTTAACTTCCCCTTACTGCTATTTATGATGGTAAAACTATTTTCAGTCTGATATTATTTAAAGGTCACCAGTAATATAAATACATGAGATAAAACCTTAAATATTTCCTGATTGTTCATAAGAAAACATTGAACATTTTATAATGTTATAAAAATAAAAGCTAAGTACCAGTCCATATAAAATCAGACAATTAAATGGTTATAAAAGTGATACATGTGGGTTCTCAGAATTTTAGGATTTTCCACACATAAATTTCTCTTGTACTATGATATATGTATGTTAAATATTATCTAAATGTTTTGCTTCATTGTTACTATGGAACAGTGCCAAAGAAATTTCACTAGCAACTAGCCAATCTTTTCATGTGACAGAACAAAAAGTCACATCTTTTAATTATTAAGCCTTGAAATGAAATGCAAATATGAATAAAATTATTTCTCCTTACTTTTATAACAAATACACACATTTGCAGTCTTTTTGATTATTTATTTGTTAGTACAACCTAACACATACATGTAGATACTAGATTTAAAGTTAGTTCTGTAATAGGCATTGACAGATTACGTTTTGCATTGTTGCTGATTCAGCATTTTTCTTGATTTTGGCAATATTCTACGTCAAAATAAAATGTGCTTCTAAAAATTTCAGTTTTTGCCAAATAAATAAAAGTAAAGGAATGTCTCTGACCAGGTTTGCATAGTAGCCATGAACCAAAAATATTTATTATTTTACATACATGGATCATAGTGCAAAAGAAATCCATATGTGGAAAATCATCTAATTCTGACAACCTTCATGTAATTCACCTTTTGTTTGAATTTCATACACACTGGTACTTTATAGTCTTTTTCACTCTCAAGTATATTTTGGCTTCTAAGATTCTAAAGACAGTGGTTCTGTAAATAAGATTCTCATATATACAGTCTGTATAAACAAATTACTTGAGCTATTTTACCTTATGTTCATGTTTAAACACTGTTAGAGCTTTAAATGTACAATTTAATGAATGTCTTAAAGAGGCATATTTATTAACATTCCTAATTATCCAAGATCCGAATGTTCATCTTAATATAACTTTGTTATACTTCCACAAATACATAATATGTGTATTTGGAAGAAATGAACACATTTAACTAAGTGTTTTCACTTACTGAATTTTAATTTTATCTGAATGAACTCATGTCATTCTTTTGTGGGGGTAGCTGTATGTATAAGACTGTATAACTTCCTTCTCTAAAGATAACATTCCCCTCTTCTTTCATAGTAGGGAAATTTAAGTAATAGTAAATTACACTTGGTAAATTTCACTTCTGCATACTTCATTCTTTTCAATTTGAATACAATTAACATACCATTTTTGTTTGTTTTCTACCCCACTTTAGAATACGTAAGTTTGTGGAAGTTGTGGAATTTTGATATTTTGATGTCTTGGGTTATTTTCATAGTATTGGCAGATTTATGTTACTTTAATCTATATTAATCATGATTACAAGAAATGAACATAAAAATGAAAATATAAAGAACCCAGTTATCAAATTTGTCTCATTTAATGCTTCCTCTAACATGTTTAATGTTAAAACCCCAAACGAATGTAAACTTTATAGATTTTTAATAAATTCTAAATTTCTATTTTGCTTTTGAAAAAAGAACATAAGCTAGTAGTTTGACTTCAAATTTTTCTAAAATTAAGAAGTTGTATAAAGAAACACTTTACATAATGCTTAGCCTTAGTATCTGGAAAATGAACATTTAGCTTGAAGTTACTTATGACTTAAAATAGGAAAAATAATACCCTAAAAATTGGGGGGGGGGATCATCTCAGAAAGGAGGCAAGTAATGTACTGTATGAGACACTGTGACATTTCCTCATCTTTAACCCCACATGACTTTATAATGGTGTTACCTCATTCTGCTTCCTTTATGATATGTTATATACCTCATAGCAAACTCCTGAATAGCATGGCTTGTTATAACTTGATTCATAAATGTATGATGGTGCAGTGAATTTTAATTCTTTGAACATGACTTTATATGTCATTGTGTTCTTCACTTTTTTCTCTTTCAATATTTACAGTTACAGTGTAAAGTTTAGACAGTAAACTAATATTTTTTTACTACATTTAGATTTGAAAAAAAAAAAAACTAGATGTTTGTATTCTAGATTTATATCTCTGCCTCCCCCTGAATGCAATTCATTTGAGACATACCAATGATACCATGCATATTGAAAAAAAAAATTTCTTCAGTTATCAGCTGATATTATGTAATTGATGTATTCCATACAGTTGTCCTTTTTCTGTGTACATAGACATTATAAAAAAGGTTGTCTGACTCCCACACTATTCAGCAAAGGTTTTGGTACACTTTTATTATTTAGTAGTAGGAGTTGAGGTACCACTAAGGGTTGAGAACCTATTGAAGGTATTCTCTAATGAGAAGTCAATGTTGAAGTAGAGTATTACACACTTCTCAATAAAGAATACTATGGAAGGATTACAGATGGACATATGGACAGAAACCTTCATCATCAAATACCCTCTTCAACTTTTCAAGTGGGGGATATAACCAGAAGTCTCTGTCGAGACTGTAGCTCTACTGGTTTGTACTTATCAAAAACCATTGCTCTATTTTATGTATCTTTGTGTAGTCTACTTGTGTGCCAACTTATTTTGAAATCAAACTAAAACTGTAGAAGGAGTAGCGTTCTAAAAGAATTTCACAGAAAATTCTATTTTTAGTAACCACGGTAACACAGTTCATCGAAATCAAAAACCGATGCACTATTCTATGTATCTTAGTGTAGTCTACTTGTGTGCCAAGATAAATTGAAATCAGACCAAAACTGTAGAATAAGTAGCGTTTTAAAGGAATTTCACAGAAAATTCTATTTTAAGTAACCATGGCAACACTGTTCATCGAAATCAAAAACCGATGCACTATTCTATGTATCTTAGTGTAGTCTACATGTGTGCCATGTTATATTGAAATCAGACCAAAACTGTAGAAAGAGTAGCATTTTTCAGGAATTTCACAGAAAATTCTATTTTTAGTAACCATGGCAACACCGTTCATCGAAATCAAAAACCGATGCACTATTCTTTGTATCTTAGTGTAGTCTACTTGTGTGCCAAGTTATATTGAAATCAGACCAAAACTGTAGAAGGAGTAGCGTTTTTAAGGAATTTCACAGAAAATTCTATTTTTAGTCACCATGGCAACACCGTTCATAGAAATTAAAAACCGATGCACTATTCTATGTATCTTAGTGTAGTCTACTTGTGTGCCAAGTAATACTGAAATCAGACTAAAATTGTAGGAGGAGTAGCGTTTTGAAAAATTGTTTACAGACAGACGGACAGACAGACAGACAGACAGACAGACGGACGGACGCCGGACGCATTACTATCGCATAAGCTCTTCTGGTCTCTGACCAGTAGAGCTAAAAATTGTATATTTTCCTGATCAACAAAAAATATCTATTAATATTGTCTAAAAGTATCATAATTTAATATTTATAATTTACAAAAATGAATTGTAATTTTGACAATGTAAATACCTGGATGAACATCAGAAATATAATTAGAACTTACTGCAAATCTTCCACCATCAATGCCATGTTCTCGAAACTGGGAGACAAAATTCCCAAACTTATTCTGAAACATCACAGAAAAAAAATGTTAAAAATTGATTTCCTTATCATATGTCAAGAAGATACATGTATTAAAAGAACAACTCTGGAATAATATTCAGAAAATTTGAGCATCCTAAAATAAAATACTGTTAAACAGAATAAATTTTTGTTGAACTCATAGCTATAATGCTCTTAATGATTTAACATATAGGTTAACTTTCCTCTATCTTTTAAGATATAATTTTTTGGCTTCTTTATTCAGAATACTGATCTCAATATTTTTAAATACCTTCTTTTCCTACCTTGCATATCGTCCAATTAAGATATTTTTAATAACTGAAAATTAACTAAAATATACATACAGTTACTGAGCCACATTGAAAATAATTTAACATCTAATGATGTTTGTTCATACTGTAGTTCTTTCAAATTACTGAATTGTCTAAATCTCCCAACCAATCCCTCTCATGATAAGAGTTGAAAATGCATCAGTCTGCCTCATTTAACTATTTTAATATTGTGTTCAGCGAAATAAGTATATATGCTATTTTTTTTATCCTCCAATTTCAGCAGTCTACTGTCTAAATCTTCATGTTTTGACATTGATTAATTCCTTTCTACTAGAATTTACAGTTTTATAATACCCTACTAGGGCTCACAACATTATGTGTCCATGCAGGGGATAACTCCGAACTTCTTCGCTTTGTGTGAAATGCCCATGTGGTGCAGTGGTTAGAGCGTCTGCTCTAGAGTTGCGAAGTAAGGAATTGATCGTAACATCATGAAAAAGATTCCTGCTCAATGGTCATGATGCCGAGTATTGGAAAAAATTGCACTAGCTGCTCTCCACTCGCAAGTGGTGGCATCTCCATACAAGTGAAAATTCTCAAGAGGGACATTAAACAATATACAATAAATCAATCAGTGAACTTTTAAGTAAAATGAGAATTCTATTTACAGTGAATCAAACCATGTTATAGTGTGCAGTGTGTATGAACCATTAATTTATCCAAAGGGGTGGGGAATGTACCATAATTATCAGGGTAAAAATGATACTGCCTTGATCATGCATGTTGATAACATTTATGAACTTCCACAGTTTCTGTTATAATCCAAGTACAGTAAAACTCGTTTAGTACGAACACGGATATTGCGAATACACGGATGTAGCGAAGTCATTTTGGATCCCCAACCATATGAATTAAATGAATTTCATATACGGTTATAACGAACGATATAGCGAAGTAATTTCATAGGTCCCAGCGACTTCGTTATAACCGAGTTTTGCTGTACAGTTGAACTTCGGAATCTCGAACTCCAATATCTCGAATACCATGGATGTGTCAAAGTGATGTGGAAGCCCCATTACCACATTTCCTGTAAGTATTTTACCGTTGATATCTCGAATCATCGGATATCTCAAAGTTTTTTCTCAGTCCCATCAGGTTCGAGATAACGAAGTTTGACTGTATTGTTAAAACTCACTAAATTGTTTCAGGCAGAATCAAACTCCTCCGAAAGATTTTGTTTGAGACTATTACAGCATTAGCTAAGCTTTAATAGGACATACATGTACATTTTAAAACATATCTACTGTTTTCACCATCTTTTTTGTTGTTTTATTTCATTTCAGCAATTAAAACATCTCTTTATATTTTGAAGTGTAAATGCTTTTGAGTACTTTAACCTCTTCTTCATTTTCACTATACAGTATGCATCATTAAATGCATATTACAGATCAACTCAGTGTTCGAAATTCAGAATTATTTTCTGTGGGTCCAAAGGACCCACTGGTAAAAGGTCTACACAAGTCCTTCCAAGGCAACATAGGCCCAAAAATAATACAATCTACCATAAAATATTTTGGGAAAAAAACTTTAATTGACAATCTTGGTAAGTTTATCGATTCCTTACCAATAAAAAAAGATCATGTTATTTAACTAAAAAATTTGTTAATATTACTGTAAACATACTTTATGTTTCCTGTAACATTCGCCCCAAAACAGGGTCTGTCTGTGTGTGTGTTTTTTTTTTTTTTTTTGCCTTATGTACGATCTCACATATTGAAGCATTATAAAGTTTCCATTTGAAACATTAATTTTCACTTTCCCTAAATACCTAAATCAAGAGGACCAAACATCCCAGGACTGAAGTAACCAGGTGGGATATTTACAGTAGGCACCTAACATGGCTGTACATGCGATAGTAGTCTCGTTTAGGTTACAGACTACTAATTTTACCCCTATTCCATTGACCACTCAAGTAGTTCCAGTTTAAAAATAGAGGTTTTTTCTTAAAAATTCTTTGGGGTGTTTATGGAGTAGAAAGCGGTTATTTTTGGGCATAAATGGAAAGGAGAGGGTCTGAAAAAAATTATAAAAATGATAATAATGGGAAATTTTGCTTTTAAGTGCGTAGTAGGAAGGGTGTAAAGAGGCCCATATTTACCCTTTCCTCGAAGAGAAAGTGAAAAAAGCAGGGTAGGGGTTATTTGCGATGCCATAAAAGGACTTGCAGACTATGAATGTTCCTGAGAACTTGGTAAAATTTTGGACTTGAAATGGTCTTACTCTGTGCCAAGTTTCAGGTAAGTTGAGCCAGTGTAATTTTTTAAAATATTTTTTATGTTATAAAGGAATGTATAGCAAAATAATTGGTAGTCTGTGTCCTTTACCCCCGACTCTCGCTCTCGAGACTTGGGCCGAGCGAGAGTCTGGTCTGATTCCTACTTAATTTTTGTAATTTCAAATCGAGGCTTACCGAGAAATCGGTATGGATTTTCATTGGCTGACACATTCTCTTCGAATCTAAGATCTGTATTCTTTAAAAAGTCAGAGGCTGCGCCTTTACTTTTACCTGGTTTTATAATAAAATACCTCTGTCTGCTTTACAAGGAACAAAAAACGCACATATATTTGTTTAAAGAGTAAATTCTCATATGTATTTTCATTGGAATCGCCATCTTGTTAGCCGGTTTAGCGACCTCTACTGGTTACAAAAATTAAATAGGAATCAGACCAGACTCTCGCTCGGCCCAAGTCTCGAGAGCGAGAGTCTGGGGTAAACGAGACTAATGCGATAGAAAACGAAGCTAAATAAATTGGGGGAGGAAATGCTTCATGATATTAAAATGATCATTCCTCTTCATATTTTAAAAGTGAAGGTTGACAAGTAGGATGACATATTCATATTTCAACTAACGCTACAATTAGCATTCTTTATAAGAATTGCATCAGCTGATTGAAACCGGCACAGATATAGTAGCAATTTGAATGTGTCGGTCGGGTTATAGGAAAGAAACATGTTTTTTTTAGGCCTTCTTTCTTGGCAAATCATTATCGGCCCAAAATCATTTCAAGGACCCATTTAGTCATACTATACATGAGTCCTTCCGTTTGTACGTCGGCGCAGGACCGACGGACCGACGCTAATTTCGAACACTGGATCAACTTGACAATTTATATTTAAATGAACTGTATAGATCTATGAGCTACACCTCTCAGCCAGTCTTTCATCTGTATTAATATCTGTGAAATTATAAATCTAACTTTGAATGAAAAGTACTGACTCTTTAGGGTTTAGGGTTCCTTTGATAATCTTAAAATAGTACGTGATTCAGCTTATTCATGTAGTAGCATGATGCTTTTGCTCTGGGACTTGCAGACGATTCTTCGTGTATAACTTCTTACCTCCATAAGCCATGTGCACACATCATTGACAGTCCATCTCGCAAGCTGGCTATAATCAGGTAGCGGAGTTTTAGACATTATTTCAGTTCTGCGTCTATTCAAACAAGAAGAAAGTTTGTTGGTTAAGAACTTCCTTGTTGATTCTTTTCTTGTATATGATTACCCGGATACCCTCGGATTTATTCAGTGAAAAATGATTATTGATGGAAAATCATCAAGGTACTCCGAACATTCATTTTAGCGATTTGTAATTTATTTAGAAAACCGAAAAGAATTGAATTCTCTTCTGCAAGAAAAATAATAAATTTAAGAATTTAAGCTTTAAAATTAAAATATTCTAAATAGGTTTTTAAAAGAAAATTGTATGATTTTGATCGTCAAGATATGATATAGCATTCACTTTTCGGGATTGTTTAATTTTAACTTATACGATTCACTTCCGGTTTTCTTTCACGTGTAGAGGAAATTCAGAAATAGAAAACTAAATCAAAAATATGCAACACGATGATGTGAGTACTCGTTCAACGATTCATCGATATAAAGTTTAATTATTTCGTTTTGAAAACATCCTACATTTTTAGTTGATTTTCATTTATCACATACATATAGTTTGAAAAGGTTTTGGTAAGATCAAGATGTATAAACATGCACTGTTTATTACTTTTTAGTTCGAATTTTCTCAAAATTCGTATCAAATACTAAATTCGTACCAAATATCAGCCGAAATGCGTAAATTACATTGCACTTAATATTCATACTAATTTTTTGCATTAAAAAAAACACCATTTTACTTCAATAATTTACTGAATTTTGTATATTTTGCATTGCAGGTCATTTGGAGTATTATCAATAGTACATTCTGTTCTTTTAAAGTGAGGTTTGTACCTTTTTCACTTGAAATAATTTCATTAAATTTAATATTGAAGTTCAATTTTCAAACTTACACATATTTGATATTCAATATAGGCCCTATAAATTCAAATTTTGTTTGAGGTGTTTAAGGAACAAATTAAAGTTCTGAATACAACAAGAACTATATGGACTGTCTTGCTAGAAACTTTTATCTATGTTTACCTCAGTTTACTTGTTATTTTGTTTTTTTAAATCTCTTGAGTGAATCAGGTATTAAAGTTTTTCTCCATTTGCATAAGTATTAAGTATGATTAACAGAGTTCTTGAAAACTTTCATCACCAAGCAGGATGATAGGTCCTTCTTGAAGAAAATTTTTGCAGGACTCCCAAAATAAACAGCAGTTGATGAACTGCATCAAATGAATTATTCAATGACAATTTAATTTATTGTTTTAATTATCATTAATATAACCTTAATGAAGACATCAAGAACTGAAAACTTTAAGAAATCTGTTATTAAAAATTTTCTCAAGAATTAAGATGCAGGTTACTTCCAATCTAATATTTACTGTAGATAATTTTTCATAAAATTGTTGTTTTTGTTTATTAATTTTAGAACAAAATCCCAGAAATTCTGTAGGAATGAGTACAACTTAACAGGATTATGTAACAGAGCATCATGTCCACTCGCTAACAGTCAATATGCCACTGTCAGAGAAGAAAAGGGTAAAGTATTTTATGTATTGGAATATTATTCACTAAATTATTTAAACTTGATGCAGAAGTTGAGCAATTAAGATTCAGAATGCTGAGTAAAATTGATTTAAAAAGAATTTTACTCTCAATACATAAAATTAACCATAAAATTAACAAAACGTAAAATTTTCAAATGAATGAAATAAAATGTTTGTAGGCCAGGTTTACCCTTGAAGTTGTTTCCTCAGTCTCATATGATATAGAATTTTTTATGTGTAGATAAAGTTTAAGTGAACTTTTTATAGAATTAAAGAAAAGATTTGCATTGGTAGATTTAAATGAAGTGTCATTACTTTATTTTAGGTGTGTGTTACCTCTATATGAAGACAGTTGAACGAGCTGCATTTCCCAACAGAATGTGGGAAAAAGTGAAGTTGTCTAGAAATTATGAGAAAGCTCTGAAACAGATAGATGAACAGCTTATCTACTGGCCAAAGTAAGACAGGATTTCTGAGAATTTTCTTGTAGTAATAAAAAAATTATTGTTGCTTTGATTAAGCTCAAAATCATTACATGTATTTTTATCAATCAAGATTCATCAAGCACAAATGCAAACAGAGATTCACAAAAATAACACAGTATCTAATCCGAATCAGGAGACTGGTGCTCAAAAGAAGGTAATTATAAGTTTTTATTGAATGGTGAAGAATTAAAATATTTAGCATTATAAGATGCTGTATGACACACCACAATATGTAAATGTCTGTGATCTAACTGATCTCTCAACTGCACATTGATTAAAATACATAAGTAATATTCCTTTTTTTATCAAAGAAAAATTTAGAAACATCATGAACATGTGGACAAACCTGTGTGCTTCTCTTTCATCCAATTTTCCTTTTAATTTTTTTTTTTAAGGAAAAAGTTGGTTCCTCTAAGCAGAAAAATTGAAAAACGAGAAAGACGAAAAGAGGTATTTCTTTGTCCTGTGTGATTTTTATGTTAGATTATTATCATAAGAGGGGAAGATCTATTTTAAAAAGGGAACAGAGGCTTTAAGTGGTCTTACAGATAACTTAATTTGTAAATGAATTGAGTGAAACTTCAATTGTAAGTTTTTTTTCTGAATGACTTAATTTTACCTGTAGGAAAAAGCCCTGATAGCAGCTAAAATAGACACAGCTATAGAGAAAGAGTTACTGGAAAGACTCAAGTCAGGAACGGTAAGTCTGTTGTGCACTGGTTGTGTTCATACTTAAAGAATTACCTTCCTTTAAGACATTACTTTATTATTGTTCCAAAGAAAATGTCACTTTATGTTGTTGATAAAGATCTATTTGGAGAAATATTTATTCTGTGTTTTATGAAAATTTATTAAGAGCTTCATAGAAAGTAAAATATGGAAACTACCATTTAATTAATGCTTGACACAATGTAATGATTAAGAAAAAATGTAATCTTGTGGGTGATTGAATGAACATTAGAGTACTGGTATTTTAAATTGAAGAGAACTGATCTTATATCTTCAGTAATTCTTAAATGCTATTTTAAAAGTTTCTTTGGATGAGTAAACTGATGTTTTGTTCTCAAACAGTACGGAGAGATCTATAATTTCCCTTCCCATGCATTTGACAAAGTGATGGATGAGGAGGTTGAAGAAGAATCGGAGTCCGAGAAGGAAGGAGAAGAGGAGGAAGAGGAAGAAGAAGAGGATGAGGTCTGTCTTCACTCTCTGATCTAGTTCTCTGCCTTTTACTGTGAATGAGTATTTTGTCTATCTTCACATTCTGATTTAATTCTCTGCCTGTGACTCAGCATGATTACTTCAAAAAGTAATCGATTAATAATTGATTGATCCAAAGTCAAGTTTTACTTTGAGTATTTCTGTCTTTGTTTTCTGTAATTCTCTGCCTTTTATTTCTTCTGTACTGAAAACTTCTCAAATTCTACCAGGTCTCTGGTTTTACACTGCTTGTTTTACACAAAAATCTTAATATAACCCTTTGAACTGATTCAGGGATTCTTATTCAATTTGCATCCTGTACAAGAAGTATTTGGTTCTGCTTTCATCCATATATGAAATGCATCTTAATTACTGTAAACAGTAAAACTTGGTTATTAAGGGTTTACTTATAATGAAATCTTTCTGATAAGAAACTTTTTATGGATCCCAAATAGGACCATTCAATACGTTTCAGATATATTAAAGAATCTCATTTACAAGGCAGGAAATGTTGACATCCAATTGAGATCCTTATAACTAAGTTTTACTGTACATAGGAGCTGGTCTATGGTCAAGGAAAATTGTGAAATGAAGTGAAATTTTATTTTTGTTCCATGAATATGTTTGATATGTACAGGGTTATTTTCGCCCCGTGTTATCTTTGCACTTTCACGCTTGCAGACAATTTTGTCCTGCTTTAAATTAACCCAGTCATAGTTTTGTTTAAGAAATTAACCGTATTCTTTAAATCTGCCCTGCTTTGAATTAACTCAAATGAGGGCCGGCTGAAAGGGGTGAAAATAAAATGGAGTCGAAATTTTTCTGTAAACATTATTGCTTTTTAAATGTATTTAAAAAGTAAGGATATTGATAATATAGTCTTTTTCTACATACATATGTACTTTAGAAGCAGTATCTGTATAGCAGTATAATGTTGAGATGATGTAAAGCAGCAGGATTAGTAGCAACTGATGATTTCTTTATTATCTTTATCAGGAGGAAGCAGAAGTAGAGTATGTAGCGGAGGAGGACTTTGAGGAAAGCGATTTATCGGATTTAGAGGTACGATTTATATAGCATTCAAATCTGTCATCATCTGATAATAGAATTAGATTTATAGCATTAAAATCCATCTCATCTGAGTTCCAAAGGAATGCTGTAAACCAACTTTTTCATGTGCACGAAATTTTCGCAAGGTTCACATGAGCCTCGTCATCGCAAATATTTCTTTCCTTGAAACAGTCCTTAATGTCTCTGTGTCAATTTGAACAACCTTCAATGTATAGGAAGCTGACATTCTTTTTAACAAGTTATAATTGTATTCCTGCAAAAAGATCTTTACTAAAGAATTAAATCATAACAATATCTCTTCCTTTGAAATTGTATAAACTTGCTAAAAGATGAAATTAAACACTGAAAGTATTAATTATGGATGACAGATATACGTATAGGGATGTGCGATTTTATCGATATACCGGTATATCGCGATTTTTTGTTGCGTGATATGTATCGTGATACGAGACCTAAATACCGGTCTTTTGGTACATATTATAAAATCCAGAAATTATTCATTTATTGTCCCCCGCTTTCGCGAAAGCGAGGGGATATTAAATCTCATTCGTCTGTCCGTCAGTCCGTCAGTCTGTCCGTCACAAAAACTTTAACCTTGCCCATAACTTTTGATTTAGTGGCGCTTTGACTTTCATATTTCACATGTGTATTCCTTTTGATAAGACCTTTCTTTGGGTACCATCAAATTTGACCTTTTGACCTTGACCTTGGGAGTTTGACCCACTTTTACACAAAAATTCCAAACTTTTACTTTGGCCATAACTTTTGAATGGTAGATACTAGGGCTTTCATATTTAACATATATATTCTTTGTGATAAAACCTTT